TTTAAACAAGTTTATACTGGTTTAACTAATTTCCAGTAAGAGTCTCATGATAACTGTGACCAGTGATTATAACAAAAATGAAATATCAGACAGAAAATAAATAATCAGACTATATTCACCCATTTGCACACACTCTACATAAACTTAGCACTGACTGTACACTCCACCACACTTTTCCATCAAGCAAAGCACATTCAAGCTTTTCACCATTACTCAAAGTCTCCTTTTGTGAACTGGGAAATAAAACCACAGACCACTGTCACAGTCACTTTATTTGTTAAATTGTCATGTTAAAATATTTACAGACAAAAATGTCACTGTCCCTTTGTACATGATCAGTCTTAATAAACTTTAAACTCTGTAATCTAAAGGTTTTTCTCTGTGGTTTCCTTTTTTTCAGTATCTAAATATCAGGACAAAGAACAAATTGAGTGCTGTTTAGATGGCATGCAGGATGTTCCTGTTCCATACACTTGTGAGAGGCGATGCAAATATATTGTGGGTGGTCCAGGCTGTGCAGAAGCTTTCCTTCACTGCTGCAAGGAGATGGAAAAAGTGCATGTTGACAGGAAAGAGGAAGCCCTCAAACTGGCTCGCAGTAAGAGATGGGGACTGGGGATGGGAAAACTCTTTTTGGGTAGATCACATATATTAGTTTATATATTTAGTTGTATGCTAGTTTTTAAAAACTCATTCTCATCATATAAAAAGTATAACAGTACTTTTTGATCACATCTTTTAGGTGAGTGGGATGATGAATACATAGACAGCTATGACATCTCTGTTCGGACGAGCTTCCCCGAAAGCTGGCTTTGGATTAACTTCACACTACCAAATTGCACTCAAAACATCACAAACTGGTAAGTACAGCCAATAAAAAAGCAATGCACAAAAACCCATTCCACTTCTCTAAGGAATTTTTTTGCCACTGAAACTGATGGGACTTTTCTATTTCAGCCGTACAACATTTGAGAAAAATAATATACCTTTACCTGACTCAATTACATCCTGGCACTTTACTGGCATTAGTATGTCAAGGACTCATGGTGAGAATTGTTTCTGTGCACAAATTTTTCTTTTTTATATGTACATTTCCTGTCTCGAAATTGTTACACCAATCTTAGCTTTTAAAAAATATATATATCGATCTATCAGTTCAACAGAAAGCTGAAACTATATGTGAACATTTTTATACAATATGTACATTTGGCCAAAGAAAGATGAACAAATTTGGTTTGGTGTCAAGTGTATCACGCACAGCTCACAACTCACAACATAAAACTGATAAGTCGAAGTATTCAGTTGGCTGAAGTTGTTACAGTTGTTGGCTAAAGTGAAGAAGTACAACTCATGTTATTTTTTTTTTTTAGATTTAACATAAATTATATTATATATTTCCACTCACAAATGTCTCACTCTTTCTTTTGCTTTTGTTTTATGTTTATTTGTCTCTCATTTTAAGGTATCTGTGTGAATGATGATTTAGAGATCTTAGTACAGAAGACATTCTTCATTGATCTCAGACTGCCATACTCTGCAGTCCGTGGAGAGCAGCTGGAAATTAAAGCAATCCTCCACAACTATGAAAACGACCCTGTCAGAGTGAGTCTGTGCTAATAAACCCCAATGTGTAGAATTAGTTAGAACTGCTGGAAATACCATGCCAAGATGCCAAGAGGAGGACTGATAAAACTGATGTTTAAAAAATATGATTTAGTGTCAAGGGTAACAGGTAGGTTTCTGCAAAATCTCTCCTAATGGAATGAAGATTATTAAAACAAGTCAACCAGCATCTTTTAATCTCTACACTTAAAATTTGAATGATGGTGGTGGGCCAACTATATGTTATCATAGGGGACTTTCACAGTCATGGAATTATTCAGTGATCCCATATTCAATTCAGTATCTGCATTGTTGCAATGGTTTTTGTCGTGGCTTTTAAAAAACATCTACTGGCCATCTTTACCCATTTCAAGGTGCGTGTGGATCTGAAAGAAGAAACCAACTTGTGCAGTGCAGCTCATAAGCGCGGCAAGTATCGTCAGGAGGTCACCGTTGGGAGGGAAACAACACGGGCTGTAACATTTACCATTATCCCCATGAAGGAAGGACTTTTTCCTATTGAGATTAAAGCAGCTGTTAGAGATGGTGGCAGTGATGGTATCAGGAAGATGCTGCGGGTAGTGGTAAGAAAGATATTTTGCAGCACTCGATATATCATATGAGAAGGGTTTGAACCTCTCATTTCTGTCTCAGACCACTAATTGTCTCCAATACACCTTCTGTTGACACTCAAGGGCAGTTACAACAAATTAAATTAGTATGAGTAACCAAGAAAATATTTAAAAACATTTCAACATGCATTGATGCATGCTCAAACATCCAGGTAAGGAAATCCCCCCAAATTGATTCTTTTTATCTGGACGTAACGTTTTCAGAGGGAGAAATTTTGTGCCACTCATTCAAGTGACTTCTTCAGTCTCAGCTGACGGCAGGTTTGCCCAACCTTTCATTGTTCAATGGTAATTTACATATTCATGATCATGAAACTGACCTCAAAGTCCATTGTTCAGTGGTACTAGTTTCAGCCATTACGTACTGTTTATAAGGTTGGGGAAACCTGCAATCAGCTGAGACTGAAGAAATTACTTGGAAGAGTGACTAAACATTTCTCCCACTGAAAACGCAAGATCAAGATGAACAGAATCAATTCTTTGTGATTTTAACAGGCAAGTATCTGTATTAGCAATTTACTCAGACAGTGTTTACTCCTTATCTTAAAACTACTGTTTTTTCAGCCTCCAGGTGTACTGACGTATAATACAAAGACTCTACTATTAGACCCTGCTAGGAAAGGAAGAGGTAACTTTACTGTTTAAATAGTTGCAATGTGCAAAATATATATAACTTATATTTAACAAAATATATTTATTTATTATTTATTTGTTTATTTTATATACAATCATTTCAGAATCCACTAACTTCTTATCTGTCTCTTCGATTAGATGGCAAACAAGTGGAAATCATCAAGAGTGCCATTCCTGAAACAGATATGGTTCCAGATACAGCTGCAAGCACACAAATCTTTCTAAGTGGTAAGACCAAGAACCTTATTTTCCCAAAGCTAACACTTCTTCCATAAAGTATACACAAGAAAATCATATGCCAAGAGATTTTGAATAAACAGTGCTAGCTACCCGACAATGACCATTACATCTATGCCACAGCGTGCGCTTATCTGAGTTTGCACTGAAAATATTGAAACAGTTAAAGATTGGTTTATTTAAAAACACATGCAAGTCCATTGCAAACTAATATTACTCATAATTCAAAAAGTTGTTGTGACTGTAAAAAAAAACAAACAACAACCTGAAAGCAGATTTGGAATCATCCTCAAAAACTGGTTTAGAAAAGTGTGTTGTGGTTTCTGATGATTACAAAAATATTTTTTTGTTGACCTTTGTAATCAATAGATTAGCCCCATTTCCAACTCAGTAACTGTGGGTTTTCTTATGTCTATACAGGAAGAGAGCAAATGAGCACACTATTGGAGAACGCCATTAGTGGTAAATCTATGGGGACTCTAATCAGACAGCCAGGTGGCTGCGGAGAACAGAACATGGCTGGCATGACCTTGCCTGTTATTGCAACCATGTATTTGGACAAAACAAATCAGTGGGAGTTTGTGGGCTTTGAAAAGCGTAACGAAGCTCTTCAGCACATAACAACAGGTAGCTTAACACACAGAGGCATGCAGACAAGCTCTCCAAAATGGTATCAAATCAGCAAATTTCAGTCAAGTATTGACTGGTAATTAATGAAATGTTTTGCCTTTGGTTTTGTCCAGGTTATGCAACTGAACTTACTTTTCGAAAGCAAGATGGCTCTTTTGCAGTCTTCCCCCACCAAGATGGCAGCACCTGGTGAGTCAGCAAAACTCCAAAATGATTGTTAGATAATGGATGTATTGTTTTAGGGAAAAATAAATAATCCAGAGGTGCTCATGTTCTCTCTTCTGTAAGGTTGACTGCCTACGTTGCCAAGGTTTTTGCAATGGCTAATTACCTGATCGGAGTGAATAAAAATGTGATCTGTGATGCCATCAAGTTTCTCATCCTGAACACACAGCAACCTGATGGCATGTTTAAGGAAGTTGGATATGTGTACAGTCAATCGATGCGTGTGAGTTTCCTAATTTTAATCAAATAATTTATTAAATTTGGTTGTATACAAAAATGAAATGTTTACCTTTGTATATGTGTATGTGTAGAGCGATCTGTTAGGAACAGATTCAGATGCCTCCATGACAGCCTTCTGCCTGATTGCTATGCAGGAGTCTCGAGAAATTTGCAGGTCCTCTGTTAATGTGAGTATATACCTACATGCACTGTACATCCACTAGATAAAAAGAAATACATAGTGTAGATAAAAAATTTGACTGTTCTATATAATTTACAAATAAATTGGAGAACAGCAGCCCACTGGCATTAGGATAGTTACATCAAAGACCATATACTATATCTGGATGTTATATTTGCATCTATGTCTCA